AACTGCTTTGCGGCATAAAACACCAACCAACCAACCAACTTTTACATTTAATTGTATATTACCTATAACCAATAGAAAGTCGAGATATTTATCTCACAAATGACATATTGTATAACATTGTGTTCTGAACAGATAAGCGTCAATTTCCCTCAGAGTACAAGTTTTATTCCCATGGGAAAGTTAATGACTAACTTGGATGAATTTGTAATGGCTCTTGTCATATAGTCAGAAAGCCAGAAAAATTTTGAGAGTTAGGGGAAATTATCTGCTTTTTGCATGTTATTAGTCTATGTTGTTTGGTAAATTATTTAATTAAATAAATTTTATTTAATGCACTACTACCATTAGTATAAAATATGTAGGCTTAAGTATAATTGACAATCGACAACAAGAAGATCGGATACGTAACTAAAATGTAAAAAATAGGGATCTTTTTAGGTTAGTTAATATTATATTAGGTAAATAATAATATTAATAATAATATAATAAAAATGTTTTACGAGGCATGCATGCATGCAAGCACCACATAGATAATATAATTAAAAAGCATAACATGAGCTGCACGTGCCCCAAGTAATTTACAACTTATTATGGCGCAGATAGTATTTAGACACAGTTCAAAAGGAAATCAAATGGGCAATAAAACAATAAAATTTAATTATAAATAGTTGTATACTGTTACGAGCATAAAGCTACTTAGGACAAACTAATATAGTTTCATGTTACAACTTGAAGCCATTCTAGAAAGAAAAAAGAGTAATTTAGATATATTTCACTTTTTTTGGTGGTTATGAGGTCGATCAAATTGGCCAATCTCATTTTGAGTTAGGGTAAAGGAAATATGAAGTTTTACTAAGAAAAAAAGGTTGAAATGCATTTAAGAGGTTTTAAGGGCTACACAAAGGAAATTTGAGATTTTTGAGATGAGAAAAAGTAGTTTTAATTTTAAAATGAAAATTACTTTGCACACGTACTATTGAAAACAAATACTCAGTATATTCATGGACAAATCTTTATTTTATTTTATTGAAAATACTTCACTAAGAAATATGACTTTTTGTAAGTGAAAGACTTGTAATATTAACTGAAAGACTGTCAAATTTCGTGTAGATATACACAATATATTGAAAGTTAGAAGTATTAAATTTATAAACATTTTAAATGAGGACAAAGAGGTCATGTGGTCGGTCGAATTGAGCAAGCCTGTTTTGAGAGAGTTAACCTCTTAGCTGGCAATAAATATTGTATCTTTGTGTTATTGTTTCAATTTATAGATGTCTGGAAACTTTGCATAAATGATTGTGTAATTTGTACAAAGTTTTCAAGTGTAGGATGTATTACAGATGTTATTTTTTCAGGAAATTTCTATTCAAATGAGATTTATTTGTTTGAAAACTAGACTACACGTTGTCTTACAGATGTATAATTTTCCAACTGGATATTCAAAGGAAATAAAGCAATAAAAAATTTAGGGAAAATATCTGCAGCAATGGTGTTTGTATATTAAAATATACTTAATATAAAAATTTGCTATTTCAGTCATATTGACTAACTACATTTTTTTAAATCATTTTTGTATCATGTAATTTTCACTGTAGAAAAACAAGGTGAAAATGTACAAAAACCTTTAAAGTAAAATAGAGATTAATAATCTCCACTAACATAATTTTCAAAGTAGTTGTTTTCTTCATTTGTAAGTTAAATTACACACTCTGTACTGTTTCATGAAAATAAGTTACTTCTAAGTTTTTCATGAATTGCTTTTCTCAAATCATGAGTTTTGTGGATAAGAAAAATTTTTAATATTTTCTGTGTTTTCCAGTTCAAACTTGTGCAGAACTAGTTGCTAAAGCAAAAAGACCGATAATGATTGTTGGCAGCCAAGCAGTATTGCCTCCTACACCACCTGAGTTGTTAAAGAATGTTTTGGAGGTATTTATATTTAAAAATTTCCTTAATGAGACTCCTTAATTAGTGAGCATGCTTGTTAGGTGTGATGTATAACAAAAAACTGTTTTTGTAAATAATTTGAAAATGTTTAAAGACATTTGTCATGTTGTTCCACAAAAATCACAGAGACTTCCATATTGTTTGACAGATACACACCCTTTATTTACTTTTTTAAACCATTCTGATAATTTAAAAATTATTACAAAGCAATATTTATTAACTTTGTAATATAGAAATGCTTTCTGTGGTAAAAGAACTATCTGAATCTGGAGCATATTTTGTTTAATTATCTATTGGCTACACAAACTTTTAGATTAAAACATGTTAATAAATATAAAGCTTTCTCTATGTTTATATGTTATAGCTGGCTGATGAGGGAAATTTGATAATTGATTAATTGTCAGACTCATTGATCAGTAACATTCAACTAATCAACTATTCTCACATATGACTTAGATAGTTGGAATAATTGAGAATAGTAATAATAGGAAACACTAGTTTTGATTAGCTGATTTATATTGTGAATTATGACACTAATGTATTAAGCTGAACAATCTTAAATTAATCAAAAATAATAATGAGAAATCATAAATGCAATATTTCAATTACTTGGATAGTTGAAATAATTGTAAATTGTAATAATCAGTAACACTAATTTCAATTAATGAAATGTTTTCATGACATTAATTGATTTAATTAATTGTAATTTTGATTAATTGATCTTTTTACTTAACACTAATCAATGTAATCAGTGCTCTTAGGTAATCATTTCATTGAGTTAATTGCACAGCTGTAATATGTTTATATCTACATGTATTGTTTATATTGACTGAATTCTTATTCCCAGTGAAATTGCCCAATTTTACTGCCATTTAAAAATCATGAAAATGTAAAAAATATTATGATTAGAGTTGGGCAGTTAACATGATTAATTGATATAATCAATTACCTATGAACATTGATTACATTGATTGTTGCATAAAATAATCAATTTATTGAAATTACTGTTAAATTGATTAATGTAATTAAAATAATCAAATAGCATTTCTGATTATTACTATTTTCATTTATTCCTGCTATCCAGTAATTTATATTATGATTCAATCTATTAATGACATGAACATAATCAAACTTGAAATTACATTTATTAATGTTATGAAAATAATCAACTAATCAAAATGAAAGTTTATGATCATTACTATTTTCATTTATTCCAACTATCCAAGGAATGGAAATATAACCATCATATTTGCTGTTAAGATCAAAGCTAACCAATGTGCTATCTGTGTTTGGTCAACTGTAGGTATTAAAACCCAATTTTTAATGTTATATGTCTCTCTCTCTCTCTCTTTTTATTGATTTAAATTTGTTCAGCTTTGAACCAGCATTACCTGGCAATTAGGGGGGTTGCTCTGTGATTTGATGATCTTGAGTTTGATATCTATTTCCATCAAACTTGCTCACTCTTGCAGCCACAGAGTGAGGGGGAATCATATTTGTTTCTTTGTATTTGAGTTTTGGCAAAGCTATTAAGGCTATGTACTGCTGATTAAAGGGAAGGTAAATGGCTAGCACCTCCCGTTGCTAAATATTTAGCTACTTGAGTGTTATTTAAAGTGTAAATGTAGTTTCTTTGCATTACACTATTTTTTTTATTTCATAACTGTGTAACTTGAATCTTTAATAAGTTGTAATATCTCTGTTTGTATTGTGTTTAATTGAAATTTATAATTTATGTAACTTTGTTTTTCAGTGTTAAATTGACTCTCTCTACATTGATATTTGATAAACAATAACAAAATCAATAAATTGATATTTTGATGCTATATTGAACATTTTATTAAGGTAATAAAACAGAATATGACATAAATTTGTTTCTGTATTGTACTTTACGTCATGTAGAAAAATATTATAAAAACATACTCCATGATGAATTATGTATAAATATGCTGTGATTGCATTGATTCTGGAGAAAAATGCCCCAACCCTAAGATATGTTGTCTTTTCTTTCTGTAATGTTCAAAGAATATATCCAAATGTTTATATGTTTATTGATCACTGATACTTTCACACCTATTATTCAATTGAGCAAGTTTTGTAATGAAAATATCGACATCATAATTCTTGTAATAAATTTATATTAAAAGATAGTGGAGTTTTTTCTTCCATCTTAATTATGCTAACTTTTGCTAATAAGCCTTAGTGGATAGTTTTTTGTACAAGTTTCATATTTTTGTTTTCCCAAGAGAGAATTAAAAAAATTTTTTCACAGCATGATTGTTTCAATTTCTTGATAAGAACACTACAAGTTTCTTTTTTGAATAACAATTTCTCGAAGTTTCAATCTCTGACAACTATCAAATTATTTAACATAATTCTAAACATTCCTGATCTACATAATACTACTAAATGTGAAAGAACTTACCTTACTGTTTTTGCAAGTTGCTATTGCTAAGTAATGAGCTTTCTCATTTAGAGAAATAGCATAACATACATGTCTTAAAACACTTCACCTACCCAAGCTTTGGCATGTTATGGTGATTGATGAGGGAATGTTCTCTTGTTCATTTCACAGTTCTTGCAAATAGTCAAAACCTTGCACTTGTGAATAATTATTGATGTACAGTGTGGAAAAGTTCAACTGTGACCTTTTTAAAACAAACTTTCAAAATTCAGAGGGTGCAATACCTGGAAATAATGTGTTATGAATGGAAAATTTTGGTTATTTTTGGATAGTATTAACTTGTTTAAATTTGTTAATTACATTAAGTTTGTTTCAAAAATTAGGGTTTATTTTATCTTGTAGATAATATTAACATATTAAAAGCATATAGTAGTATATACAATTCAAAAATGAGTAAAACTAAAAACCATCTTTGGAAATATTGATATTGTGAAAATATCCCATCTACGAAGATTTTGATTAGTTAACAGCAGAATGACTTCATAACACACCTCATTCAAAACATTTTTGCACTTGCTAACAGAATTCTCAGAACTTAACAAAAATGTTGAATTTGTAAACAAAATTTTAGGGACTACACAAAACTATTCAAGACTCAAATAAAAGCACAAGAATGTTCAAACATGCTTATTGCACATGCTTTTTCTTTAAAGTATAAAAATTTAGCATCTTTTATTAGCATAAAACAACAAAAAATACTCTGAAATTTGGCTTTTGAAAGGTCATTTTGAAGCTACAGCATTACATGAAAATTATAATATAAAGATTTTGTAGTAGGAAAAGGTTTTTTGTTAAATTTTAACAATATATAAACACAAAAATTAACATGTATACATAAGAATTGCTCTTCTGACCATGAAACCAAATTGGCTCAGCTAAGTGCAACCCCACTAGATAGATATCCATTTACTCAAATCATGTTATTGTAAGATTTCATAAAGTATAATATCATTTAAGTATTTAAGAGTACTGAAAGACATTTGTAAACAACTTTTTGTGTTGTGAGTTAATAAACTTTATTACCTTAAAAAACTTAAAAATAACATTAAACAACACAACTAATTTTGACCATAGGCCTACATAGATTTCAATTAATTGAATGTCTTTAATTGTTCAAAAGAAAATAATTTTTTAATACAGGTTCAAGAATACAAAATGTGACCAATAATACTGATGTTCATAGAAGAAGTAAAGAAATATCTAAGCACACTAGATGGAGTACTTATTTTAAACATTTGTTAAAGAAGAAAAAATTCAAGAATGGTTTTATAATTAATAATTTTTTTATATGTTTGATTACACTATTTTACTTACACAAATCAGTGGAGATTACTACATATTTTAAAATGAAATAATGGTGACCAAGTAGTCAGATCTATATTGGTGATCCATTTAATAATAAGTGTTTAGATTATCCTTATAAAAATTCTGACAGATAATCTTCACCATTTTATTTATCTTATATGCACATATGTATATGTGTGTGTGTCTGCTGTAC